TTAAGAAAGGAAAGTTATTTAGATTCAAACTGGTCATATGGTTATGTGGACTGAGCCTGAGACAAACATAAACTGCATTCATCTCCCACTGCCAAACTGCTCTGGATTCAACAGACTGGCAAAATTTTAAACCAAGTCTTGAAGTCACGTTTACCTAAGAGATCCACAGATTTTGATGAGTATTAATCATAATTTAAGTATTTGTGCTTACCTTTATTGTATCTGAATTATTATCAAGCATTTACTCTATCAACATAGCTCAGTTACAAAAGCTACTGATTAATCTGAAAAACAAACTGAGCCCACTGAAGGAGACACAGTATTCCTTAAAATAGGAAGCTGAGAACTTAGGTAACAGAGCTGCTCCAAAGTCTTTGAACAAACTCTGAGCAAAGTTTGAGTTTAGCTAGTTCCAGGAAAGTACATTCCCCTTCATAAAAACTGATGAAAGAGCTATAAAGAAGTATCACTTGTGATATAAACCTGGAGTAAAAGTAAACCTGGGGATGAGTTCTGATAATACACCCCACAGTTTTCCAGATTGGTTCCTGATGCTTAATTCCAATATTCATTGGCTCAGTCAGATTAGATCAGTCTAAAATTCTACCCTTTTGCATGAAAAGGGACTATTATATTGTTTTTGGAGTACTTTTTTCACAATATTATACATTCATATTTTTATTGTTAATAGGTTATACTTACCAATAAAACAAAATATAATATGTACATAAATGGGTTTCTAATTGTGTGGACCACCACTGCACAAATGTAGCTGCTTCTCCTCTGACCTATACACCAACATCAGGGCAGATCACCAGACATTACCAATATACAGTGAGTTTTTTATTCTCTGAAAAAAAAATGCCTTCCCCAACAAATATTAACATTATGCCCTAGGAGAACAGATTAAATAAATATACTTAGATTGCCCAAAAGGCAAGCTTCCCCACCTCTGTCCTCTTCCTTTCCTGTATTCCTATTCTCACCATTAACAATCTCCACCTCTTCTCCACAGTTATATAAATATAATAAACAAATATGAATTAATTGCTTCAGGCACGTCATCATTTTAATTTAAAAAACCAAGAAGAAACAGTCATTAAGTTGAATTTACCTGTATCCAAATAATAATTACTGAGCACCTGCTACCTGAAAGGTTTTGTGCTAAGGGCCAGGGACACATCCCCACTCTCCCAGAGTTCCTGCTTGGTGGGGAATGCAGACAAACAAACAGAATTTCAACAGGGATGAGAGCTACAAAGAAGAAAGTGCCATGAGGGAGAGGTATTTCAGGGGGTGTTTGCGCTCCTTTTCCAGAAGAGAAGAGGGAAAGCGGAGGATGGAGAAAGGAAGAAGAAAATAGCCTCCATCAAGCATGAATTGTACTACAATTTAATCAATTAAGTAACTGTAAAACATTTGAATTCTTACAATGAAAGCTACTCTGAAAAACAAATACAAATTAAGATAACTACTTGGATAAGATATAAAATAAAACCACTTACCTTGTCTTTCAATTATTTGGCTATTATAAATGAAAAATTCTCCACTTCACTCCTCTGACACAGAACTTACCTTGTTTTAAAACCAAAATACCTGATAGAAGATATTAGCAACATAAATTTTGTGCACTTGACAATGGGCCTTGAAACTGATCATCAGGTCAAATCTTGTTTTTAAAAAGAGCAGTGTGAACTAAAATAAGATCTTAAGGCTCATCCCAACACCTGGCTGTCTGAATGGACCCGCTCTTGGCCAAAGGAATATCCTAAAACTAAATTGTGTGCTATGAGGAGGAGGTCAGACATGCCTCATCATGCCCCACTCCTTTCTTGGAGACATCCTTTGTAACCCATTAACATGTCTAAGGGTATGCAAGACAAACCTGCAGGTCCTCAATTTACACAACAAATATATGTTGGTGGCTTATCTCTGACAAACAGCTCCTTATGTTAAAACATTGCAAGCCTTTAGACAAAGCTTCATGTCTTTAACCAATTACAAGTCAAAGAATCCTTAAAACCACCTATAACCTGTAAGCCCTGCCCTCCCTCTTTGAGATGACCCAACTTTTCAGGCCAAACCAATGTATGCCTCCCACATATAGATTTATGACTTTACCTGTAACCCCTGTCTCCCTGAAATGTATAAAACCACATTGTAACCCAGCCACACCAAGTCTACTTGCTTAAGGCTTCTTGGACATGGTTCTGGGTCATGATCCTCAAATTTGGCTCAGAATAAATCTCTTTAAAATTATTCTACAGAGTTTGGCATTTTTTTCCATTGACAGCAGTAAGAAATAGAAAACTAATACATATTTTCTATGGCTTACTTAGCATATTTGACACCTGGAATGGATACTTTTTAAACACCTCCCCCCAACTATGACAAAATTACTTTTAATGCTAATCAATAATAATCATTATTTTCTCAACATGTTTCATAAAGCAATGGATAATTTTCAAAAGGAGAATAAATTTCAAAGTTATTATTCAAATTCAATGATACATTTCTGTGTAAACTAAATTTGCATTTATCTAACAAAAATATTACCCCTTGTAGTTTGCACTGTTTCACTGTTATAATATTTAAACACAAATAAAAACTCTCAGTGAACACATAAAATAATAGAGCTGAAGTAAATCAATTTCTAGTTCTGTCTTTACAATTACTGTGTTATCATTATTTTGAATCTACTGTATTCATAAAGAATACAATATTTATTAAAAGATAATCTTAAAAATGCACTAATTTGAATCATACATATTGTTAAAACTCAACGATAGCAACAATCATTCAGAACTTAAAGAAACAAAAGAATTTTGTCAAAAACATTAGTTTATCACTGATGCTATTTAGAATTGCTGGTGCATGGTAACAGTAAAAAGCAGAATGACTTTTAGTTAGTTGTATTATTATTTACACATTTCTACAGAAAATGCATCTTCTTAATGATTGTACCCAAGACAAAATGCTCCCATCACTTCACCCTTGATAAGCATAGTTTTTAACCCAAAGTTGAAGAAAGCCATAAAATCACCACCATTTTTATGTGATATGTATTTATTATACACAGGCCAGCTTCAGGGACTGCACACAGGACCCATGCTCAGAAAGGGGTTCTGTGCTTGGGTTTTAATGCTCTGCTATCACAGTCTTCAAATTTTAAACAATTTTACCTTTGATTTCTGTAGTCCAATGGGGCAATGAAGCACATGTCTAGGTTCATATACAGTCCTGCCTCCCAGTGACTTCCTGGGACAAGTTCTCACCTACCTATTCTCCCATCCACCACTTACTGCCACCCTCCACTCCAGGTAGGGGCCTTGACACACCTCAGCGTGGGTTAGGGTCACTGGGTAGGGCCATGGATGCCTGTGAGGGTCTGTAGTCACTCCACAAGTACCTCTGTGCTCTAGGAAACCTAACATTAAATATCAAATAAAAATAACCTTCCACAGGTCAAGAGAGACTATGTAAGAAAGGAAAAGCTTTTTTTCCCGGCTTTTTGAACAAGAAGTCTAACATTTTCATTTTGCACTTGGCCCCACAAATTATTTAGCCATCCCTACTTATGTCTGTGGGTGAGTATGCACACATGTATATATCTGTGTTTGTATCTACAAAGAATAAAATAACTTTATATTTTAGATAAGGTGAATTTATAATTTTATAATTTCTGGATATATATAGTTTTACTATATTTTACTTAAAAATATAAGAATAATAATTTTAATAGTTTATAGACCAGAGGAGAAGGCATTCCAATACAATATTATCTTCCAAGATTCTTGTGACTGATGAATTACCTTGAAAAATCTTTAAAAATATATTATATGCTAAAAATGGGGATATACTTACTTCAGACATTCTAATAGGGCATGGCATTACTAATATGTTATTATTAATGAAATATGCTTTACAGATTTGATTTCTTGACAGGCAAGAGATTTTTGGTCAGGAGCCAGAGTCATCAAATATTAAGAACATGAAGATACATCAAATGTGTTGAAGGGTCCTCAAAGCTCACCAACTAATTTTAGCAGCATTCAATTATTCACATAAAGTACTTATACTGAACAATCTCAAATCTTGAATTTCATAACCCAAAAAGCAATACAGTCTGTAACTAATAATTCTCAAAACATACCTTTATAAATCTGGAATTATTCCACTTATAATAAGGCAGATGAACAAAATATTCCTATTATAACTCTTTAATTTTGTTTAGCTCTATTTAAGAAGCCTTCATGATCAATACACAGTTGACAATTGACAACATCTTCAAGATTTTCTCTTCATTTTATAAATGTCATTAAGATTCAAGGGGAACAATAGCTATAGACACTCCATAGATGAAGATTAGATATAGATATAGGCATAGATATATATATAGACAAAATGAAACAAAAAGGACCTTGAAACAAGTATTTTTGCCCAAAATTTAGACAGCATCTCCAATATTTCTGAGCGATAGCTAAACTTGCAAAAAAAATCTATGACACTATTGTCACATTTGAAAAAAGGTTAAGAGCTATTAAAACTGTATAGGCTCTTTATACCTTCAGATATGGCTCATGATCCGTGCAGCATTGATTTTATTCGATATTATCTAAATTCCAACTTCTAATGCCTTTTTATTATTCACCAATTTAACACTGATCAACCTGTTCCTCTCTTTATCTTCTTTAGAACCCTTAAATTGATGTGCAACCCTAGTTTCCTTTCTCTAGTCCTGACTCCCTTCTTTAATATTTAGATACTTACACAAACAAAGCAATCATGTGTAAATACACCTCTGATTCTGATTTTATCCCTGGAAACTCCTACAGTTGCTGTACCCTATGAACAATGAAGCAGAAGCCACCCAGAAAGCCTACCCATGTAAAATCACATACTCACTTGTAATTTATATCTTATACATAGAAAGCATCTCAGCTATACTCAAAGTGCAAGGGGAAAGGGGACAGGGATGGAAGAGTAAACCAGTTACCTACATTGTTCATGTACTCTGAAAGCAGGTCCTGAAGAGCCTGGCGAATGGCGTTGCATTCTGCAATAATCCGCTCCCTGTGGAAGTCCCTTGTGCACGAAGAGTCTGCCAACAGAGCAGCCCCACTGATAATAGCTTCAAGGCGTTTCTCTAGCGAAGGTCTTATTTCCTCCTCAGTCACTGTGAGTGGATTCAGGACGATTAAATTCTAAGAGAAAAACACATTTGGATGGTTAGAACTCCACAGCATTCCATTTTTTATGAAAAACAAATATTCTTTTGTGTTCATAATTAGAATTCAGATGGATAATAAAAAGAACCACATTTTAACTGCCTCAACCAGTTCATGCATAATGGTATGTAGCGATTATTATTCAGATGAGTGATGAAAGTGATGTAATTATAAGCATTGGTTCTAGTATCAGACAGACCTGAATTCAAATCTTGCCTTTCCCGCTCACCAAAGACCAAATTTAACATTTTTTCTTTATCCAGTACATAATCTATTTGGTAAGACCATAATTTCAACTATGGGCTTGGCCATCAGTTAAGACTTCATGTATCTAAATCTACCTCCTTATTTCACTTGCCACTTTTACTATGTCTTCCTTTGGCTCGCTCGTTTAGTACAAACTTTACACTACAATGTTTCATAATAAAAATTAAACCATTTAAAACCTTTTTGAAAAATGTCCCTCCTATATAGTATCATCATTAAGAAGAGACTCTAAGGGCAACAGAATTACTCTTTAATTTCTCAAATGGAATCGAAAGATGTGATAGGAACAGTCTCCAGTACTGTGATCATATGAAAAGTTGATCAAAATTCAAATCTGTTCACTTGTAAGTATTGTAAGAATAAAACTAGTAATTTTAGGTATGCTGGCTATAATTTCATATTAGCAAACAGGAGAGGAAGTCTTTCCAAAGTTGGGCATAATGTGGTAATTAAAGAAAGAGTTAGTAGAATAGAATAAAGGCTCTCTGAAGAAGTCTTAACATAAAATGTAATCACATAATGATCCTCAGAGTGTGAGACTCTGAGTGAGTCTACACACACACACACACACAACACAACAGTAAAGTCATTATAAGATCTCCATGGTGTATAATCTTATGTGTAAGATTTTATATATGTGTGTATGTATATTACATATGTAGAAAGAAGTATGTACATGTGTTAATAAATATATAAAATCTTACATTTATATTACATTACAATAAATATTTGGAAATCAGAAGCAGAGAGGATACAGTTTTAAAAGCCACAACTATAAAGCCAAGCTAAGAAGGGAAAATCATTATAGAAAGAGAAATAATTTTAAAACAACTGGGAAAAATATTACTGTGTAATGTTCACATATCATAAAACATTAGGGGATTTCAAAAATTTCCTGAAAAATGGAATTAAACATAAAAATAAAAAATATACATTTTATTTCCCAACATAAGCTCCATAAAGTTCAAGACTCTGTTGTAAGTGATGATACCAGCCATTTAGTCCATCTCTAAAGAACTGAGTATCTTGAGAATTTAACTATGTCAATGTAGTCTTTTTTAACATTAGTAACTGAATAAAAATGAGTGCCTTTTACAGATTTTTAAGATTAGGGAATAAAAAGAAGCAAACAACCTGTATCATAGAATTAAGTTCAATCTAGGTCGGGGTGGGAACATGAGGACTTAAGGCCACATGTGGCCTTCTAGGTCCTTAAGTACGTCCTTTTGACTGAATTCAAATTTTGCAGAAGCCTTTTTATTTTTATTAATACATTTTAGTTTGTCTTTTATATTTTTATTTTTAAAATGAATGTATTTAAAATATCAAACAATAAAATAAGTTTCAATGAAACAATACTCCCAGACTGACGGGCACAATTAGAACATTAGTAAGCCATAAGGGTTAAACTGACGGCTGCTATGCTCATGATTTAGTTCTAAATTCCCCCACCTGACTGGCACCACTACCGCACAAGGCTGGTTGGAAAGAGTTTATGCAAGTCTGTTATCAGCTTTTGACAATGGTGCACTGTGTTTCTGTTTCAAGCTGAATTTGTGAATAGCTGTACAGCTTGACAGTACTTTTTAATTCTGTCTGCTTAATAGCCCATCATGTCAAAGAAGACCAAGAGAATGCTGAGGGAAGAAAACAGATTTTTTAATGAGGATTGGGAATTGCAATATTACCTTGTTTCTGCTAAAGATAAGATGATTTGCTTTCTTTGTGATACTGCAATATCAATGTTAAAGAAATTCAATGGTCATCAGCATTATAGCACTCATAAGAACCACAAATATTTTAAATTAGAGGGAAAGGCACAAAAGGTTGTATTGCAGAAATTAAGAGATGAAAAGCAAAAGCAAAGACAATTCTTTCAAGCAGCAATAAGACCTGGAAATAATGCCACTGAAGCAACTTATAAAATAGCTTATATACTCGGGAAAACAGGGAAGCCATTCAGTGATGTAGAAATTGTGAAAGAATGCATTGTCAAAGTTGTAGGATGCTTAGACCATGATAACATTTCAAAATACAAACAACTGCCTATTTCAAGGAAAACCATAACTGATCAGCAGCATGAATTAGCCTTCAACTTAACAGAGTGCCTTCATGAAATACTTCAAAAAGAAAATTTACATTATTCAATCACTTTGAATGAATTAACTGATACAACTGACTCAGCTCAGGTTTTATATTTCATTTGGGTCATAACTGAAGATTTTCTTTGTTACAGTCACTCACTTTGGGCACTCTTGCAAACAGAACATGGGGAATAGATATCTTCAACAACTTTCAAAACAAATGTCCTGAAGTTGGACTGAATTTGGTAAATTTAGTGAGGATATGTATGGAAGGAAAATATGAAGCGTTTACTGCACAGATAAAAAAGTATTAACAGATCCAGATGTTTTCATTTCTTTTCATTGTACCTTGCATCAGCAAAATCTCTGTGCTAAAGCTACCATTTTAAGTGACACTTTGCAACAAGTTACAAGGACTGTTAACTATATTCACGCAAATGCAACATGGGCATCATCAGTTTCATAATATGCTAAAGTTGAACAGTGAGGTATTCAGTGTGGATTTGCTGTATTATTCTAAAGTTCATTGGCTATCACAGGAACAGGTGTTAGCCAAAATTTTATCTCTGCAAGAACAGATAGTTAAACTTTATGAAGAACAGAATCAGCAATCTGAATTATTGAAAGAAGATTTCTACAGGAATGCAGCATTTCTGTGTTATACTTTGTCAAATCAAAACGACTTGAATATTTCTTTGCAAGGTAAAACTAGGTCTATATATGATATGTGGCAAAAAATCCAAGGATTTTGATAAAAGCTATCTTTTATCAAAACACTTCTCCTTCAAAAGGAAATTTCAAATGAACATTTTCCCCAGTTAGCAAAGATCATTGATGAGAAGGATGATATATATGAATCATTTGAAGAACACACAGCTGTTACAGACCTATTAATTGGAGAATACAATGAAAGGTACACTGACTGAGAATCATGACATAACACTCAAATTAGCATTTCAGCCTCAACTAGTTGATATGACCAAGGCACCTAAAGAACTACAGATGGAATTGATTGAGCTCTCAGCAGACGACATTTTACAGTCATTGTTTGATTCTAAAAAAAGATCCAATTGAAATATGGGAAAATGCAGTAGAATACCCATGCCTTTGGCAACATGAACAAAAAATGCTTTCTGGTTTCTTAACCACTTATTGCTGCAAATCTTCATTCTCCTATTTAACCCAAATCAAGATGCCCTTAAGGTCACAAATGACTGATACCCACCTACGGGATCAACTGCAAATGTGGACCTCTAGGCTACAACCAAATATTCAAATGCTTTCCAACAAAAAGCAGACACAACAAAGTCATTAAAAGGTTAGTTAACTTTAAGATTAACAAATAGTTTTCATTTTTTGAAATTATTAAGTACATAGTACTTAGAATTTTACAAAATAATGTACATTTTTAAGTATATCTAATTGTTCTTGAATGAGGCCTTATTTGATTACAGCTAAATTAATGCAGCCTTCCAACATGAAAATGTTCCCCATCACTGCTCTAGCTCCTGCTCTACAGGAAAGTTCGTTAAATTATTCCAGACTTCGGATTTTTTTTTTATTTCAGAATAATATAAATACAAAAATAATGGTTACATAAATTGCTTTTGTACCGTTGGAGTCAAAGTGTGCCCATCCACAGAGAGTGTACATTGTACCCATTAGATGTGAATTTACCCATCTTCTTCTCCCCTCTCCCACCGGCTTGACTGCTTGATTTCCTATGAATGTTATTTTCATGTGTGCATATAAGTGTTGATCAATTAGTTCCAATGTAATGGTGAGCACAGATAGTGCTTATTTTTCTATTCTTGTGATACTTCACTTAGAAGGATGGCCTCCAGTTCCATCGAGGTTAATACAGGAGGTATTAGTTCACCATTTTATTATGGCTGAGTAGTACTCCTAGTATACATATACCACATTTTATTAATCCACTCTTGTAGTGATGGGCACTTGAGTTGCTTCCACATCTTTGCAATTGCAAATTGTGCTGCTATAAACATTTGAGTACAGATGTCTTTTTTATAGAATATGGTTTTTTCCTTTGGGCAAAGACCCAGTAGTGGACCTGCTGGATCAAATGGTCGTTCTACTTTTAGTTCTTTGAGGTATCTCTATACTGCTTTTCATAGAGTTCATACTAGTTTGCAATCCTACCAACAGTGTATGACCATTCCTATCTGTCCACATCTATGCCAACATTTGTTGTTTTGGGACTTTTTGATAAAAGCCATTCTCACTGGAGTTAAGTGATACCTCATTGTGGTTTTGATTTGCATTTCCCTGATGATTAGAGATGTTGAGCATTTTTTCATGTTTGTTGACCATTAGTTTGTATTCTTTTAAAAAGTTTCTGTTCATGTCTTTTGCCCACTTTTTAATGGGTTGTTCGATTTTTTTTCTTGCTCATTTTCCTGAGATCTATATACATTCTAGTTACCAGCCCTTTGTCAGATGTATAGCATGCAAATATTTTCTCCCATTCCGAGATTGTCTATTCACTCCAGCAATAATTTCTTTGGCTGTGCAGAAGCTTTTTAATTTAATCAGGTCTCATTTATTTATTTTTTGTTCTTGCCATGATTGCTTTTGGGGCCTTCTTCATAAATTCTTTGCATAGGC